GCGCTTTTGCGAAGTTAACCGTCTTTCTCCTCTTTCACACGTTTCTTCGGCAAATCCGTTTGAGACAGAAAAATCAAGTAGGTGAACAGTGCAACGTCAATATTGGTGTAGCAATGTTCACCCGCAAGCAAATAGCTGAAGATTTGACATTCGGTTGGAGCGACTGAACGAAGCCATACGCATGTTTGAAGTTCAATTGGAGATGCTCTAACTACTTCACCCTACTCTTTTTTTTATATTAAATTATGTCTTAACTCCATTTTCCTAACATACATGCATCATGTTTCAACCCTTTTTTTTTTATAGAAACGACTGGAGAGTCTCTCTGAATCTGAAATGGAGGCACTGCTGGAGCAAGTTGAGGAAGAAAAGAAACGTCTAACAAACAGAGAGCAAGGCTAATTTTGTTTTCCTATATCAGGTTTTGTTTCATTTGATTTGTCAAATACAATAAAGTTTATACTAAAGCAGACATGAAAATGTTAAATATGCAGCTATAGTGTACATTGAACTCCTCTTCTTGTACTCATTCACTGTATAGTTTCTTTGCAATGCATTTTTTGTACATTATAGTAGACCCAGTCCTGCAGAATCAAGAGACGATTATACATGTTATTCTCTTTTATAATTTTGAGTTTGAGATAAACTTCATCAATTCAGTCTAAATTTAGTCACACGGCTATGTAAAATTGATCCAAAAAGTGGCCTGTTGGTACTAAATTAGGATCAATTTTGCATAGTCGAGTGACTAAATTAGATCAACGTGATGTTTTGGGATTAAATTAGCCACATACGTATGGTCTGAGGTTTCTTTTGACTAAATTGGCCATATACAAATGGTCTAGAGGATTTTTTACTTTTATTTTTATTTTTTTGAATTTTTATATAACTACTCACCGAATTTAGGGAAGTTATTTCCATGAAGAAAATAATTTTCTTATTTGGAGTGTCATATTTTTAGCAGTAGTTTAAAATCATGGAAAAAATTTATCATTATTTTCGAAAAAGGCTCTCCATTGAAATCTCCTTCCTCTATATTGTCAGCACTTAAGTTCCCATATATAAGATATGAAAACCTTATTAAGTTCCAATACTTGTAATAGAATATCTATTTTCCTTATGTATGTTACTTTTATTTAATGTAATAAATTTTTAATTTTGTAAATTATATTTTATTATAAAATTGTAATTGTCATATTGAATTTACAATATAAGTTGAAAACTTGCTTTATATATATATATATATATGCTTTTGTTCATTGTATTGTATTCAAAGTGCCAATGGATCGAGTCATACATATAGAGATAGAAATTATGCATGTTAAGGGAAGCATAATAGAAAGTGAAAATGTATAAACACACAAGTAAATGAAGAGTTTTAGAAAGAAAGATCATCATAATCATCATGCACATAAATCAAATAATAATCCATGCTATCTTTATTATGGCAAATGACATTCATAAACCTGTAATTTGAATAATGATAAGCACTTTAATTGTTATAGAGTCGATCATAAGGTCAAGAATTGCCCCCTTAAGACTCAAGAGTAGTCTAATTTGACAATAGCATGAGATATAATTTTAAACATTAGAATAAAAATGGGGGAGAAAAATCTAATGGAGGTCGACATAAAAAAATAAAAATAATGGCAAATGACAATAAATGAAATATTATTTTCAAGCTAATTAATAACCATAACAATTTTGGCACCTTTGATTAGATTGATTCAAATGTTTGTTAAATTTGTGTGGTTCAATATCTGTGATTGTGAATAAAGTTTCTAGATGCTAAAAAAATTGCTTAGTGCCAACTCCTATCCTTATATATTCCTTTTAGCACAGATGGATTTTAGATTTATATTGAAGCTTCATATCAGTGTTTGGGTTATATCTTAATGCAATATGCTAAAGTGATAGCCTATGCGCTTAGACAACTTAAGCTGCATGAGAAAACTTATCTTACATATGATTGAAGCTTGCCATAATTATTTTTTCATTAAAAATATGGAAAAATGATTGCTACGGTATTTATTGCGAGGCATTAATTGATCATTAGAGCTTGAAGTATATTTTTAGTAAAAAAATTTAAACTTGAGGCATAGAGGATGGCTCAAGTTTATGAATGACTATGATTTGTAAGTTTAGTATCACCCAAATAAGGCTAATGTGTTTACTGACACTTTGAATATAATTTTATTTAGTTATGCAACTTAGATTATGCACTATTGCATAAATTAGAATGACACATACACACAAACAAACACACACTATGCTTTGACCCAAAAAATCCCTCTTTTCCTTTATCCATGCTCTTTTCATAAATGAAGTTGGAATCCTAGCTAGAGCTTAGGAAAGAGTTGGCTATTCATTGATTATTATTACATGCTTCTTCATAAAAATCCTAAGTTATACATTACATGAAATGATCTCTTCTAGAATCACAAATATATACTTACAAAGCCTAAAATTTAATTATCCCATTGGTTCCAAAAACCATATGCACATTGATTCTAGATCATAATTGTAAGGGATTTCCTCTTTAGAAAGCGTCAATCTCACAAAAATAAAATCTTGAAATTAAAAGATTATATGCAAACTTGATCCCAAGTTCATATAAACTTAGCTAAATTTGCATATCTTGAATTAGAGAGAATGTTCATGTTTTATAGGTCAATTTCAAATGAACTTGATTGCATAAAACTAACAATTATTTTGATTGAAATAATGTTTTAGCTAATATATATGTAATTTTTTTTTTATACAGAGCATATTTCAAGGTGATAATATGGTTGATTAAAATGTGAAAATTTTCAAGCAATTGCAATGCAACAACTAAACTTAAAACAACATGGTCATATCTTAATAAAGCTTGAGCTCAATGAAATAAAATATTAATTAAAATTCATAATTATTAGTTATGCTTTCATAAAAAAATTTAATTTAAGATTTGTTTCAATTATCTAACCAAGTATGCCAAGATTCATGATTTTATGACTTTACATAATGGGAATAAGACTTAACAACAATACTTTGATATCTTGATAATCAAATTGCTTTATTATGCATAAGTTCCTTCCAATCAAAATCCTACCTTAGATCTTGAAACATCAACTAAATTATAATGGTTTGCTTTAGATCTTTGACAATGTTGATTTAAAAAGCCACCATTCCAAATCTAATGGCTTGAACCAAATATCCAATACACTAATCTCAAATCTTCAGGACACCAATGATTCATCATCATCAAATATAGCACAATGGTCTAATATATATTGTGAAGAGATCATGACTTGATTATCGGGCATAGGATTGATTGAAGAGTCATTATATAACAATTCAAACTCTTAACTATCGAGATATTGTCCGCTATGGCTTAAGGGTCTCACGGGTTTGTCATGTTAGTATAACTTCACAAGAGGTCAACCATTTTAGGATTTCTCTGGGATGAGCATGCTTAATTGCGGAGTTTCTTAAATGAAATTCCAACCATTATACCAAAAGATGCCTTGATGTTTATGGGTTTAACTTCTTTTACTTAAGGGGTTTCACACATGATGCCCTCAACCAAATGGCATTTTGTTTCAAAATAAAATTTTAAAGGTAAGGTGGTACATCAATCTACCATGTGCTGCACAAAAATTCTCATATATGCCAACACCTATAAATATCCCATGGGAATGAGGGAGAGATAAATTAATTATGAACTTCATTGTCACTCTTAAGATGAAGATATGTTGACCTGCTTTTAAAGTTTTTTCTTGTTTTAAACTCATTTATTAACTTAGAGAAAGGGGTATTTTTCATAGAAAAAATTCCTAAGGTAGGCTTTTCTTTTTTTGTTTATGTGAGTAGGACATGAGCCTATAACTACAAATCATTTCTAATACGAAAAAAAAGAAAAAAAAAAAGAAATATTGCAGTTATGAAAATCACATGGGTCTTGAAAACCCTCTTTGTTTTTTTTTTTTTTTCTCACCCATTTTTTCTCTCAAAATCATGGTACAAAATGGATGATTTTTTTTTTTTTTTGCAAATGTATCATCTTCTTGATCAAAATTGGACATCGCAAACCTAATATAGAAAATATTTTTAACCTTGATACTATTATTTTTCTTATGATAAATTTAACTTAGAATCTTAAAAAATTCTCAAGATATTGAGTATACACTCATGAATATAAACCTTAATTTGTGTTTTTTAGGTTTGATTTAGGACGATTTATTTACTGCTTTGTAAAACTATTTTTTAGTTATAATATCTCTTAAAAGAACAAAAAAATAGAAGTTTAAAGTTGTCCCAAACGAAACCTTAATTATTTGCCAAATGCTTATTTCAAGGTTAATAATTTCATTATAACCATCAAGATAATTAGGAATATTCACTAAATATGATTTAATATTGATTAATTGGAGGACCGCTAAAGTGTAGAAGATTTGAAGATTCAAGTAAATTCTTGAAAACTCCAAGATTTAGAGTATGTTTAGTGTTAGAGTTATTTAGTTTTCATTGTGTATCTTCTTGAGTTTGATTATTGTTGATCAAAGATTGATGAAAATAAAATTAAATTGAAAATATTTAGTAAATTTCACAAAAAGTCATGTTACATTACTATTTTCATCACTAATCCATAATTACACTCCCTAATTAAAAGATAATTTAATTACTTATCAATAATTGTTGAATGATCAATAACAATTTTCAACCAATATATCACTACTAGAATTATTTGTCTTCAAAATACAATTTTTAGTAATTAAAGCTCCAATAATATATTTAATTATTAAACAATTGTTGCTAATTACTAATTTATTATGTTAATTTTAATCAAGGAATAATTAGCTTATTAAAGTTCTAAAAAATGATTAACGGTAATATGAATTTTTAAAATAGATGGAACGAAAAATAGAATTTTGAAGAAATGAGAACTAAAAAAAGAAATTTTTGCCGTGCAGGACCCAATCATCAGATTAATAAATTAATCAAAATAATAATAATCCACTAATCGTTCTCGAACTCTGGTCTGGTTGAAAAGAGCAACACGAAAACCAGAACAGTTCCCTCTCTCAAGCTTTACAAGGAGGAAAGCATCATCAAGGAGGAAAAAGGTCCTCAGCTACAAAAACAAACAAAGAGACTTGCTCTCATATTAGAGATCTGCTGCGTTTTTGCCCTAGAAATCCTCTTCAGGTAAAGTTCAGCTATCTCACTCTCTTTCTCTTTATCTGCAACTTCGAATTTCTGCCCTAAGTTCGTGGCATTTGGGGAAAGATAGGAAATCTCGAAGTTGATTCGAAGTATCTTCTAAAAATCTTATTTTGCTATTGCCATTCTCGGAAGAATTGATCTGGCTGAGCTTAACTACGTGTACTAGTTTTAAATCGGGTTTTTAAGCTGTAAAGGTAATTTTTTGACGCTAAAAGTTTACATATTTTTGGCCTTACAGGTAATTTGTTAGTTGATCTCTTGTTAAAATTATCATTTACTTTTCTTGTTAGTTTTTAAATTTAGCTTGATGTGTGGGATCGGGTACTATCAGATGAAGTTGTGATGGATGTTTATAGTTTCGTTCTAAGCAAATTTTCCTGGTTGCTTTAGCCATGGAAGCCCAGCCCGTTTCGTCGCAAGAAGATGTAGTATTGGATGCCAAACCACTGAGATCATTAGCCCCTATGTTCCCTGCACCTTATGGATTCAACACCACATTTACGTCCTTTGGTTCCGCACCGGCTGTTTGCGTTAGTCCCTTTGGTGGTTCATCGTCCTCTGGCGGTGGTTTCCCTCCATTTTTCTTCAGTCCAGAGCCAACCAACCGGCAAAAAGGTGCTGCATCTGCAGGGCGTGCTAGTAATAGAACTCCAGCTGCAAATGGATCCTACCATTCGGACCAAATTAATCTTGAGGATGATCCTGATTACACTATCCATACCACGACTTCTGGCCGGAAAATCAAGCGTCCTAAAACTTTGAAAAAGTACAAGATTGATGATTCTGACAGCGAGAGCGCTGAGGGCAGTGGCAAGAGGAAGTCCCAAATACGGAGAAAGTCAAAAAAAGCTCCAGAGTTAGCCTTGATTCCTTCCTCTCTTCTTGATGCACGGAATTCAGCTGAGGAGATACTCATGACCTTCGATGCTCTCCGCCGGAAAATCTTGCAGTTAGACGAGGCAAATGATTCCAGCAAACGTTCTTACTTGAGAGCTGGGGCTATCATGATGTCCAATGATCTCCGGGCTAATATTGTCAAGAGAATAGGGCCTGTTCCTGGAGTAGAAATAGGAGACATCTTTTACTTTAGAATAGAGATGTGTTTGGTTGGTTTGCATGCTCAAATCATGGGAGGCATTGATTATATGTTACCTAGACTTTCTGATATGGATGAACCATTAGCAATTAGTATTGTCTCTGCTGGAGGTTATGAGAATGATGAAGGTGATACAAATATATTGATTTACACTGGTCAGGGGGGTGGTTGCAGCAGCAAGTATGATAAAAATCAGGTGGTCGATCAAAAACTTGAGAGAGGTAATCTTGCACTCGAGAGAAGTTTGCATAGAGGCAATCTTGTTCGGGTGATACGGAGTGCGAAGGATATGAACCTCATCAATGGAAGGATCTACATCTATGATGGTCTATATAAGATTCAAGAAACATGGGTGGAGAAAGCAAAGGCAGGTAACAATGTTTTCAAGTACAAATTGTTCAGAGAGCTAGAGCAGCCAGAAGGAATTGCGGTGTGGAAGAATACTGAGAAATGGAAAGCTAATCCTTCTTCTAGAGGTGGAGTTATACTCCCGGACATATCATCCGGTATTGAAACTTTTCCTGTTTTTCTTGTAAATGAGGTTGATAATGAGAAGGGGCCTAGCCATTTCACATATGCCACTAAAGTAAAGTATCTAAATCCCATTAATTCCATGAGACCTTTACCTGGTTGCAGGTGCATTAGCGTATGCCTTCCTGGTGATGCTAGTTGTTCTTGTGCACAACAAAATGGAGGTAACCTTCCGTATTGTGCAAATGGGTTTGTTGTGAGCCGTAAACATGTTTTGTATGAGTGCAACAGTTTATGTTCTTGCTCTGTTAATTGCCGTAATAGAGTTACACAAAAAGGTGTCAATCTTCATTTTGAAGTTTTTAGGACAAGGGATCGGGGTTGGGGCCTTCGATCATGGGATCCCATACGTGCAGGTACCTTCATATGTGAATACGTTGGAGAAGTTGTTGATAAGATCAAAGTGAATGATTTTGGTGAAGATGATCATTATATTTTTCAAGGAAATTATATTGATGAGAAGACACTCAAATGGAATCATGGGCCGGAGTTACTGGGTGAACCTAGTATCAACGAGAGTGATGTTTTTAAGCCACTTCCTATCATAATTAGTTCTAGAAATGTGGGAAATGTTGCTCGTTTTATGAACCACAGTTGTTCCCCTAATGTCTTTTGGCAGCCAGTTCTGCATGATCATAATGAGGGAGATTATCCACATATCATGTTCTTTGCAATGAAGCACATTCCTCCATTGATGGAGCTGACATTTGATTATGGTTTGAACATCGAAAATGCAGTTTGGAATGTTGCTGGCACTAGGCAACCAAAGAAATGCTTATGTGGGTCGCCCAAATGCCGTGGTTTTTTTCGGTAACATTGTGCAATCTATGCTAGGAAAGCTAAGGTTAGTAATCTTGATAATTTTTTCCTTACATAATTACTACCATACATATGAAACAGTTGCTTCATTTACTTTCACTACGAAAGGCTTCTGTGTAGTCAATTCAAAAGCAGCAGTTTTAATACCCATTTAATTTTCATTATTTTGATATTTCTTATTTGGCACATCAAAAGTTCTTTAAATTAAATGAAATTATATGATAGTAGAATGACATTTAATGATAATAATATGAATGATTTTGAATTTTTGAACGCACAAATCGTAATATTAAATCAATAATACTTCAGTGATTATATAAATCTATCCCACTTGACTTCTGGTCGGGATTAAATTAAAGAGTCATAGTTCCTTCGGGTAGGATGATTAAAGGATCAATAGTTTACTTTTGTGGCAGAGCTTGGGTTCTATTTGCCTTTTCCATACTAGGATTAGGGTTTAGACTTAACTCACCTTTCCTTGATGAGAAGCAGCGAAGAGTCTTTTATTAGCTTGACTTTTCTTGCTTTTACTTGGCGTCTTCTCACTCCTCTATTGACCCTCACAGTTTAGAGAGGGAACAAAGGTGAGAGAAGTAGTTGGCTATCTGAGAGGAAAAGGGAGGGCTGGGTAGTGAGATGGGCAAGAGTAATTCTACATTCGTTTAGAATGAAACTTAAATGCATGGCTTATATGAGCATCTATTTATAATGATAGAAGAATACCAAACTTTTGGATTATAAACAAGCTGCTAGCCACCTATTCTACAAATCAAGTAGAATAGGATAATTATAATTCTTGAGATAATTAGTAGGAATAATATATATTCCTAAACAATGGGAAGGGATAGACAACCATTTCCTTTTCTAAGGGAAAGTGGCTGACCTCAAAAAAACCTAGTAAGGCTTCATGATGTGGCGTTCTTTAATACTTTTTTGTCTGTGTTACTTATTTGTAGTCTTTTTATTTTTATTTTTCATGTAGCTTTTAATATGGTATGAGAGTCAATGGAATTAAAATAACTTTAATTATTGATTTTGTTTGTTTGGACTTTAGATTATCCTAAACTTTGACTCTAGTTATCCCAAGATAGCCTATTCACATGGAATTGACCTAAGATGGCCAATCTGGGCTCACTAACTAAAAATTGTGGAAAGCCTCTAGGATTATAGCTCCCCTATTTAAGTTAGTTGTGCCTTTTAATCAGTATTGAAGTTGAAAGTGATTCCTTAATCCAATCTAACTTTGAACTTTTGACTTGATCTTTTTTTCCTCTTTCCCTAAGGCTAGAAAACTGCAATTAAGGGTTACAATGAAATGGGAGTTGATTGGATTTCATATTTCCATCTTACTCGAGAGGACTTCTAGCCTTCTATTAGTAAGTAGCTCCACTCTTCATATTAGTTTGCACCTTTGTACTTTGTGTTAGACTTGCTTGCTTGGTTGGCAATGCTGAACTTTTGTCTGCCTTAGTTTGCAATGTCAAGACATGGTTGCTTGCTATTATGTGGGAATACTCTTTTTCTGTTGGATGGTGGAAAGCTTTGATGGGGAATGAGCGATTTGAATCTTTGTGGGCATTCACCAATATTTGCTAGCTAGCTATCTCTTGTGGTGGATTTGTTGACTGATTGATGTTGGGCTTTCATCCATCAATGACAAATACTTACTCATGTTATCTTATTTAAGTAAACAACACCCTTCAAGACATATAAGGATGTCCAAGAATTATATGGCATACATCTAATATACTACCTCTAAATTCACCTCATCAATAAGTGGCCTATTAATAACAAATTTATGATTACATTATTTGGGCATTTTTTATCAATCTCCTTTATAAATCATATTAATGAATAATGTTTTGAATGCGGGGTAGCGAATAAGTATAGATTTTCAACGATATTATCTCTAAATATAGATTTTCAATAAAAGCTAAGAGATTATGTGATGCAAATCATACTACCTCTAAATTCACCTCATCAATAAGTGACCCATTAATATCAAACTTAATATTACATTATTTAGGCATTTTTTATCATTTTCCTTTTTAAACAATCAGAGAGTGTAAGGTTCTGGATGCATGGTAGTGTTTATGTATATATTTTTAAATAAAGGCTTGGGATTAGGCTCTTTTCAATCCTATTTGTATAATATTAGTGATGAGAGAGAATTTTACGAGAGCATTCATGTAAAAACTCTTTTTCCTTGTCATTGGTGTGTTTATGTTTCTTCAAGAATAATGTTGCACCGACCTTTTATGTTTTGTAGGTTACTGAGGTCATCAACATTTGCCACTTCTTTGGATGTTGTTTCGATAGTTCTAATTGTTGTGTCCTTGATGCTTGCATCATGAATAAGTAAAAGTGCAATGAAGTAAATTAATTAGAATAGTTATCTGTAATTAAATCTCATGATTATCCAACTAACCTAGACAATTATATTATAAAAATCTTCCTGCATTGAATAAATTAATTGGATAATTTTTTCCAAGGTATCTTGAAACAATAAATAAATCTCATTATGCATCTAACCCAAACAATTAGGTTATAATGATCTTCCCAACTTAATGAAATTCAGTCCCATGATTTTACATCATCCATCAAATATAATGACATTAAAGTAATATGAAGCACCTCAATCAACTTTTAAATGAACTATCATCTAACTATTTTGATTTTGCATTTTAAAAATAAACAAAGAATGGTTTAATATCATTTAACCAATTTATATTTTATATTATTAACCATCCTATTAGGAATACTCATTCTTAAATGTCTTAATGTGTTACCAAGAGTTGGCACAATTGTTTACTATTATCTACATCTATACTAATCAGTGAGACATTTATTTAAATAAGTAAAAAATTATAATAATGTCAAAAACATTTACAAAATGAACAAGAAAACTTAACATATGATATGTAAGTTTAGTAGGTGTGACATTAGCAATTATCTGTCAAGATTATTAGAATATAAAGTAGTATTTAGGCTTGACGAGTTAAGTTTTTTTAAGTTATTATATAAAAGAATGAGCATATAACTTCTGAAATTAATGTTGGATTGTTAAATGAACGTCTAGATGTGCCTGAGTATGTGATGAGAGAATATTATAAAGACTTAAAGATAGATTTAATAAATTTACAATTACATATGCTAATTTGTAAGAATCTAATTGGTGGGTCGTAACATGTCACTAATAGTGAAGTTGAATGTGACCTAAATGAAATTTTAAGATGAATGTATTTCCAAATTAGGAAGAATAAGTAAAAAATTTCGTATTAGAGGGATGGTGAAAGTAGCTTTTTGTGAAGATAGGGTTTCAAAAAATAAACTTAGGAACTTTTGATATGTACAATGAAATGTAGAAAATAACTTCTGAAATTAATGTTGGATTGTTAAATTGAGTTCTCATTTTCTCCATAGAATATTTCATAAATAACTTAAAAAGCTAACATCTTTTAAGATAATAAATTAATAATTATAATTTACCCATGCAATTTAACAACTTTGTTAAAACCGAGTTTAGTTAAATGTGGTGGTTAAAATATAACTTCGTTATATGAGATGTATCAAACCGTTTTTATTTGGAATAAAATCTATCATTTTAGAAAAAACAATCCACTCTAGTAAGGTTAGAATCATGCTTCTAAAAGTTTGTGGTTTTGACACAAAAACTTATTGTGCATGTCTTGTAAATATTAACTTATTGTGCATGTCTGAGTCAGTTTCCTTTATGAATTTAGGGATTTAAGAAATTTTGAATTAATAGTAGGGATGATTTCCCTTTCTTATTCTTGTAAATAATGACCATCATTTAGGTAAAGATTTTACTTCAGCCCAAGTTCTGATAACCTAGCTACTAAGACTTTTTTTTTTTAACATTTATCTAATAGATCTTAGCTTGGCCAATTGATTTTAATTTGTAAATTTTACTTTTCGCTCAACAAACAAATTTTTTCATTCAAATAAATTATTCATATGCATAATTCAATCAAGAAAGGTAGAGGCAGACCTAAAAAGATATGGTTAGAAAATATTAGAAATGATCTTTATCTATTAGATTTAAACGAGAATTTAACTTTTAATAGGACACAATGAAGAAAAATGATTCATGTAGCTGACCCTACGTAGTGGGATAAAGGCTTGATGTTATTGTTGTTGCATAATTCAATCAAGAACAAAGAAATATTTGAATATAACTTACTATCAATGTAGATGTGTTTTTTTTTTTTTACTTTGATAGTTCTATCATCTAATCACATTTGATTTCTATATTTACCATAATCCTTTGTTGTGGGCTCCATAGTCAGGATTGTCTATAATTATGTTATTTTATCCTCTTTTAGATTGTAATCGCTTTTATGTTGCATTATCCATCTTTGGTACTATAGCTGAGATATTTTTGCTTGATTTTTGTAGCTAATCATGTGGTCTTCCTGTTGCATTTTGCTTGTGATCTGTTCGATTTTTTTCTTTTGTGATGTTGTTTGCAGTTCCCTTGTTACACGTTCTTCTGGCTACGAGAGGATTGAATTCTATATTTAAATATATTTTTTTAATTTTGTTCAAATTTGGTGCAATTTGAATTTTAATTATGGTTAATTGTTTCAATTACTCATTAGTCTTTACATGGTTTGAATTTATCATTGGTTTCTTCAAATTAATTGATCATTATATTATCATTTTGATCTTAAATCCCATATTTTCTATTTTGCATTTAAGAAAATGAATTTTTAATATATTTACTGTTAAAATCTAGAAATCCTAATTTTAATGAGAGGTGAATTCATTGCATTATCTTAGTTGCATTAGGAATCGTAGAACATAAATTGTTTTGCATCAAATTGGTATCAAAGCTTTTGGTTGCATTATGTAAATTTGAAGTTGGCCATTTAATTGGGTCAATAAAAAAATAAAAGTTACAATTTAAATGAATTCTTATCGTCAGGTTCAAAATTATTTTGCTACACTTGATGTGATGTATAATCCTAAAAAATTTCAAATTGGATCAATCATTAAAAGTCTTAGAAAAATAAAGTGTCTAATTCCCAAGTTGTTGAATGTGTGAAATCAAAGTTAGTGGGACATGCTCAATTATTTTGAACAAGTGTTGTTACTAATGCATCATGAGCAATACTTATCATTTGGATTCATAAGAATAAGTTGCATGATCAATTTATGGATTGTAAGTATGTTATTATGCAAGATTTGTAGGTTATATATAATGTCAATTTGTTCATTAAGCCTCATAGGAAAGGGTTTAGAAATCAACTTAGTTACATACAGTCCATCGAAAAAACTATCTATATCTACCTACATCTTTGAATGTTAAAACATTTTACATGCATTTTTTTAGGACTATTACACATGATTCATGTTCCTATCCTCTAAAATCTATTGGGCACACCATTGTTGATAAATATTTTATTGAAGAAAATGTTGTTCATAATTTTTTTTAATGATGTATTGGATGCTAAAAATATGATTTTATTGTTGTATCCTAAATCTATATTTTATGTTGAAATCAAGACTACACTTATATTAGACCATACTCAACTTGCATTTGCATAAAAAGTCAAAAATTGATATTGAATATAAAATTAAGCATGAGATCATATTTGAACTTGAATTTTTAATAAAGATTAAATCTATAACTGAATACAAAATTAAACCATATTATAGTTAATGAATCAATTGAGCAACTTGATAGTGCAACTCCTTATTACTTATCAATGTAAAGCATCCCAATATTGAATCAACAAATTGATCTCTCGGTATTTTCTTTTGATTATTGGTTCACTAACATGAAAATTTGATAAAAAGAAACGTGACCAATATTTCAAAATATTTATTCTCAATGAATGCCTTAAAAGAAACATAAATTTTGAAAATTCATCTGTATGGTCATTTCTAGAAATGTGTAATCCACCACATTCAAATTTTTAAAGCCATTTGATTTACTTTTATTTTTCAAGGAGATTGACCTTATGTATAAGCATATTATATTGATATTTTTTATACATTTTTTTAGTTCTCTTCATCATTTATTTCTTCTGGAATTAGTTACAAGTCATTATTAGTAATAATTTAGATACATATTAGTTTTGTGGCATTTTCATTACTTGCCTCTTTTTATTTGTATAAATTTCATGGGACTATTTATAGAAATTGGCTATTAATTATAATAATTATAAGCTTTTTATTGATGTGAACATGAGTTACATAGACTTCAAGGCTTCGTTTGGGACGGCTTTCTTACTGCTACTTAAAACAGCTTTTTAGTATCAAAATATCTCCGCGTCATCCGTTTATTTTTCTTTTATTTAAGTGTTTGTGATGACGACAGTAGAGAGTTTTAACGAGATTAGGTTCCGGGGGAATTTTTAGAAGGCAGATTGGGTTTTAGATAAGACACTACCCAGAGATTTCGCCCTCATTTTGTGAGGACTTTTTGATCTGAGTTCTAGTTTCATATAGGCGCAAGCCCCTATAGTTAATTACCCCTTCCGATAACGAGAGAGAACTTTCGATTAAGGCTAGTCGTTAAAGCGGTCATATAGGTTATGAACCTATCGTATAATAACAATAACTTAGGGTTTGAGTTTTGGATTTAAATTTTAAAGTTTAGAATTTAGAGTTTATGATCATAAACTTAAAACTGGTGGTCGGGGAAGTAAAGATGAGCCTGATCAAGATCCCATGGTTCCGTCATCCCGGGCTGTCATGTTCCCTGGTCTACTTAGTCAGAGGATGTAGTCGACCTAACCTGACAGAAGGTACTTTGTCGGCAGCCATGGGTTGCTTCATCCAAGAATACCTTGTGTAGACCTGGGTTGGTGTTTGTCTAAGATGATATATTTGAATCCACCTTAGCTGACAGAGGGCTTGATGTCTATCGAATATATCCTATGATTCATAACTCAAGGGTTTGAAGCCTTTAGGGAACATACGGGCTTTGGCCGCAATCGTAATATAATGGTGCCATTTTGCGGCAAAACCACCCGATCAGAGGGCACGTGCCACGTCCCTGTTGGCAAGAGACTATTTGAGGATGAATCGTAGTTATACACTCGATACACATTGGCTCTTTGTGAGCTGAGGTTAATTTCAAATTTATCACCCCCAATAAATTGTTGCGGGAGGTGGATGAGTTTTAGTTTTAAGTTTTTAGGTGATGTATTTAATTTCAGAGATTTAGACTTTTATTGGATTTGAGATTTGACCCCTCTGGTTGAGATTTTCTATCAACACGGCCATAATCGGGGTGACATAAAGGTCACTTGTATTTGTAGGATTTTGGGAGCCATTTTGTAATTCAAGTTGTGTCGACTCCGGTTCTTTCAAGGAGGATGAAACTTGAATATTAGACCCACGCAACATTCTCGAATCATTGGATTTGGAACTTAAATTTGACGACTAGAGCACATGCGGGTTGTAGTATTTGATCCTGCGCAATATTCTCGGTCATTGGTGTTTATACTTTTAACATGTTGACCGGAGCATATGCAGGGTGGTAGTATTTGACCATGTGCAGCATTCTCAGACATTTGTATTTATAGCTTTAATAGGTTTGTCGGAGCACATGCAGGGCATATTTAGTTTAACGGATCATATTTAATACATAAGGGGCATTTTAAAATATTTAAATATGATCCATTTAATCAAGTGATTTCATTTAGAAAAATGCATGATATTTCATTTAATGGCCTACGAACGCCTTCTGTCCGCTTGTACACATGTTGCGGATCCGGTGGCGTTACGTCGTATTTTGCCTTTGGTGTCGGCCTCGTCGGCGGCAGGCGGCTCAGGCGGGAGGTCGACGACATCAGCTCAGGTGGTGTCGGCTCAGGCGATGTATTGCTGGGCGGAGGCAAGTCGAATCTAGGGCACAGGCCGTTCGCCGTCGGGTCGGCGGCTTGGAATCGGTGCTTGGGTCACCGGGGATGAGGAGCAGGGAAGAGGGTAGAGCCCACAGCTAGGGCTCGGGTTCGGGCACGGTGTCGGCATCGGAGAAGGAGGCTAGGAAGGACGTCGGCGTGTAGAGGAGAACCGGCAAGGTTGGATGCTTCAGGCTTGGAGAAGAAGGGCGCTGGTATGGCGGCGACTATGTGCGAACGAGAGGGAGATTGGAAGAGGACTTCGTTCTTCTGAGGTCCGTTTCTCTAAAACTCTCCTTCTCTGTATGCGTGAGGGACTTGAATGAGAGGGGAAGGATCGTTTTTGTGTCGTGAGAGGCGGAGGTTGTGCGATCGTGGGTAGTTTTGATCGTGGGGGAAGTTGGGTCATGCAAACCGGATGAGGGGGTTTTGTTTGAGCAGAGGTTTTAAGTCAACAATTAGCTATTAATTATAATAATTATATGCTTTTTATTGATGTGAACATGATAGACTTCAAGGCTTCGTTTGGGACGGCTTTCTTACTGCTACTTAAAACAGCTTTTTAGTACCAAAATATTACTAGAAAGTTGCTTTAAGAAGCAGTAAGAAAGTCGGCCCAAACGAAGCCTAAATCTAATAACATAATACTGGTGCATTTAACTTTACAAAAACTTCTCTTAAGAACCTTAAAGAAATTAAATACAATAAAGGAAAAGTTATTTAAAATCTCATTGTGCAGTGGAAGGAATAGTTTAAAACAAAAAAATTCCATGAATCTTTGGCATTAATCTAATTTTTATGTCTAATTTGATGTTGCTAATTACTTAGATCATCCTCTTTTTTCATCTATTTATGAACCCACATTCAACACTCAGCCATATCATTCTATGCAGCTTGTTCTTAAAGTTATGAACCTATTGCTAATTCTTTAAATCTATGAATGTTAATTTCTTTCGTGATTTGACTTCATTTCATCATGCTAGCTGCGTTAGGAATCTTATGCACTCTATATGGTCTATTTTCCAAAATTATATCTTTTTTAATTTGTTAAGTGGCACTTCTATGTTGACATTAGGACATATTGTTAAATTTTGGTACCAAATCTACTATAATGTCTTAAATTCAAGGGTTTCTAATGTTGATCTTGCATGAGATATAGAAAACCATGTAACAAAAGCACATAATTCATAGATCACAAACTCTCAGTTTTCTACAAATAGAGAATTCAAGGTACCACTATAAAACCCTGAACCCTGAGAAAATAGAGAATTCAAGGAACCATGGGATTTTAAGCGATTAGTAGACACTTACATGGAAATGCAAGCTTTTACAGAAATAATTAAGTCTCTAAAATTTAAAAAATACAGTAAAATTAATGAAATCAAATAAGATTCACTTGTTGCATCATGTAGATTTACCTTGTCTCTCAAGAATGGTATTCGATGCCATCATATTTTTATTGTATCTTCACTGATAGTTTTATCCTATTTAATTTTGTTTCCTCCTGAGGTTTTGCAGAATCTGTTCTAGAAATATATTACATGTTATTTGTCCTCATAAGACATGCTAAGGCTTCGTTTGGGACGACTTTCTTGTTGCTTCTTAAAGCTGCTTTAAGAAGCAACAAGAAAGTTGTCCGAGACGAAGCCTAAATCTAGTCATACTAACAGTTCTTTTGTATCATTTTCTATTCAAACTTACACATCAAATTAAAAAAAAAATTACATTATTCTCCTTCAGCTAAACAAAATCCTTGATGCGCTGGTGGTTCTTGGAAATTGGCTGTTCAGCGTTTTAATTGGTGAAACAATTCAGGAAAACCATTCAAAGTTGGATCATAATCTGGATGGTGATGTCCCTTTAAGGAGAAACTTCAGCTGTAAAAAAAGAACTTTGGAAGGCTTGTTTCCTGTAGTTTTTTTGTTTTTATTTTGTTATGCTAGTGCTTATGTACTGTCTGCTGTCTTATGGTATCCTTAGAGTTTTTGAAAATTTAACCAACTCAAGTTGTCTTATGTATCTGCTTAGTAAGCTTGGTTTAAATTTAGTTGTTTTTTGCAATTTTTAAGGATAGCAAGCTCATAATTTGTTATGTTGTTGCAATAGGATCGTCTATATGGTATGAATGCTTTTTTGTTAGTTCTGTAGAGTTGTAAAATCACTTTGAAATAAATTTCTACCTTATGATTTGGCAGAACTCTTACATGGCTGTATGTGGTTCTTTTACATGGATGTATTTGCTTTATTGATTGATTAATGCTTCAATAGCTTGCCTTTCACCATGCATGCTAGTGGGTCGTAGAAGTTCAAATCCCACGATTTTGGCATGTTTTTAAGATTCATTTGGGATGACTTTTTTATTGATTCTTAAAATAGTTTCCTAGTTTAAAAATTAAAATTTTTATATTAGAAAATTGCTTTAAGAAGCAGTAAGAAAGCCGTCCCAAACTAAGGCTTCGTTTGGGACAGATTTTTTTCTGCTTCCTAAAGCGACTTTTTAGTAAAAAAAGAAAATTTTTATATTAAAAAGTTGCTTTTGAGAAGTAATAAGAAAGCAGTCCCAAATGAAACCTAAGTCTTAATTGAACCCCATACACCTCTTGAAAGTGATAATTATTGAGAGATTCATTTGTATTAAATTTTTTTTTTTCAACTAATGTAGTTGCATTTCAAGCAGCTTTTAAAGTTATACTTACAAAATATTCATTAATAAAGAAAATATGATTAAGGTATGATGGTGCATCTAATAAGGAAAGTTTCCTGATTTGAAGTCATTAATTATTATTAATGATAATAATAAAGCATTCTATATCTCTTATTCATTCACTTCAATTATGATTAGTAATTGTAACAAATAATCATTTTCAAGTAAAGCATTTGTTTGAGTTCACTTCAAGAATTATGAATAATGCTAGAGCTTTTTGTAAGGGGCTTATGCTCTTGAAGTCATAAAATATTTTTATGTCTTAAAACTAGCTTTTTGTAAGGGTTGAGGTTCGAAGCAAAAGACTTGATGACTTGGTGATGCCTATTGGAGTTCATATTATCACACATTAATTAGTCTTATGAAACTATATGTTTTTGTATTGAAAGTGTTTGAGATTATTGAGGAGAATGTGATATGTGATCAACAGTTAGTTGAATCAAGTGCTTCAATGGTTGCAATAGAATCTTTTAATTTTTATCTTTTCAATGTAGTCAATGATTAATATTTTGAGGATAATAAATATGTTATGACAATCCTTATATGCATCATTATCATATTGAATTATTTTATATTGTAGTTGATATGTAGTTTTAAAAGATAAATAATTATGTATTTGAAATTAATATTGAATTACTTTTTTGTGTACATGCATAAATCCACGTGATTCATTTTGTGTTTATGATAAAGGAAAATTAATTCATTTTGAGGAGTTATATCCATGATTTTTTTTATAATTGAGCTTGTGACTCTTCAACATTAGCTATCTATTTACATTATTGATACGTGCATCAATGATGAGTTTTTACATTGCAAATTGATTTATTAAGGTAAGAAAAAGAATTGTATCTCCTAATGTATAGCCTTATTACTTTTTATTTGCTAGTACCTATTTATACAATGGAGAGCATTTTCTATTATGAAAATCGTTAAATAACTACTGTGCAATGCAATTCCAATATCTAATATTTGAACAAGAAGTGTTTGATTTGATTATTAATGAAATTATAATAAAACATTATAAAAAAATATAAGATAAGTTGAAAAGTTTATAAATATCATCCAATTCATTGATCATAATAAAATATAAAATTTTATTTTAAATTGTATATAATTAATTCTTAATTATAATTTAATTTAGATGATTAATTTGTCCATCCTAAAAAAAAGGGACTTGTTTTGCCCCTGCATCTATACATGCATACATCTTATCATATACCTATTTATATGCACTGAAGGATTGAAATTGATAGGGTATACTTTGAACTTGAATAAAAGATTGCGATGGACTTCAGATTGATCCAACTTAACTCGGCTTGACATCAGATTGAATTAGTGGTGTCAAAATGGGTTGACATGTCAAATTCAAGTCCAACCTGAGTTAACCCAAGTCCAAAAAGGTTGATCCTAACCTGAGTTGACTTGGGTTAAGATCACACGCATTTGCGCGCACTATAGGAGCCAGGCAAACCAACGACGTCGACAGTCGATCGGAGTCAAAGCGAAAATGCGGCACTGCAGGTCTGGCTAGAGCAGACATGTTGACGATGCTGACAGGACGACATCGACGGACGACCACACAAGACAGGACAACGTTCTCGGCCAGCACAGACGCCGTTGCCTACCAGCGTGAGGAATGATGGCACGACGACATTTGGCTCTATGTCTCTCACGCAACAAGACATCAAATGCGATTAGGCACTCACATGATGTTAGATGCTGTCACGTACTGTAGCACTCACGCGGTTGGATGTTGACGAGACAAGACGGCAGACGCGGTTCACGGGTCAACCTGAGTTGGTTTCAAGTTTCCAGGTCAACTCGAACCAGACTCGATTTTACAAATGAGTCAGAATCCTGAACTCAAATCCAACCCGTTTCACAAATGGGTTAAACCCTAACTTTAAAATTTTTGAGTCGTGTCAAATATTAACACATCAAAATTGAATGATTTTTAAGTTGTTCTTGAGCTGGATCAAACATGATTCATACATTAGACCATAGCCTTCCCCCATTGATTTGTGTTCAATTATTTTATATTGAATGAAATTTCAATATATAATAATAGTTTCAGAGAAATCAAGTGCTGCATTTGCAGTCCTATGGTCCTTTGGGCTTCAGACAAACACTTGAAACATGGATGTGCAAACTATACAAATTAAATGCAAAACTGGAACTAAAAGGTACCTATAGCTAAGCTAAAGCTATTTTTTATCAAAAATTTTCCGTACGGCCAAAAAAAGCCTGTCCACCAGTATCAACTATGCTATGTTGGCGTATTTACATGGAAACCGCTTTTCGCCGTTGTTTTCTTCTAGCTGCAAACAGCTTTTACACAATCAAGAACGTGATATTTTCCCCTCAGAAAAAAGAAGAAGAAGAAGCAATAACAAACAGTTAAGGAACAAATGTAACATTATCTGGCCTGCTCGCATTCGCAAATGCATAGATTCCTTGATCCATTTACCATTCGCTGTAACCGTTCTATATGCAGCTTGATATTCGGCAATTTGTCAGCGATCTGTTAGGTTGAAGCTAATCAATTAGAAAAAAGATAGCCAAAAATCATATAAAAACAGAAATCTGTAACAAACGACCAGTAATTACTTGACATTCTAACAGATAGCATTAACTCAGAAAGAGGTGGAAACAATTAAGCTTGATTTGGAACGGCTTTTAATAAGCTTTTTAAACAGCTTTTTAGTAAAAAATAAAAAATTATGTACTAAAAAGCTGCTTTAAGAAGTAGAAAAAAAGCTGTCCTAAACAAAGCCTTGATTACTAAGGGTTTTGAAAATTATCATTGAAGGGACGTGTAATGCATATCCTCCAAAAAAAAAAAAAAATAAAGCTAATGAAGATCAATAATTGAGGTGAGCACAAACCTTTCTCCAGGTGAAGTCCACTGCTTCAAGAGGTTGAGCTGGATTTGAATAGAGGAAATGCCTCGAATGCTAGTGATTGAAGAAAAACAATCAGATTATGGTTAGTGAAACAGGGCTTCTACTTAGGCCTCATTTGGGACGGCTTTTTTAGTGTTTTTTAAAATAAATTTTTAGTATAAAAATTAAATATTTTATACTAATAAGTTGTTTTAAGAAGCAGCAAAAAAGCGGCCCCAAATGAAGCCTTAAATTCAAGAATGGTTGCATTTTAACTGGAGTAGAGGAACTGACCTTTTCAAGGTTTTCCTGCATTTCTTTGATTCGCTTCGAATCAATGCTTTTGAGGAACTGTACAAGCCACCCAGGTTGAACAGCATCGCTTGAAGAAACAAACAACGCTATCTACACAATGGAAATTTGGAGAAAATAAGCCTGATTGAATTAATTGTCGCCAATCATCCCATTTATATTTATTTTCAGACAACCACAAAGTTTTTCCTGCACCCCACTGTTTGGTCCGCAAACAATTTTATGACATTCATTGAAAGTAGTTGGTGCTGGAACTAAAATAGTATTAAAAAACAACATATACTATAGTTATTTATTAGAAGAAATATCAACCTATGTAATCCAAACTTATGATGCAAATATGAAGAGATAGCACATCAAATGAGTTTGGGCAAAATACTTTGTTATTCAAATCAATTATCAACATAGAAAAGGGTAAAGTTATTATCTATGGGTATAAACAACAATGGAACCTTAAAATAAACCTACCTTCCGATATTTTATTAGTCCTTCAAATGGAAGCTCCAATTCATCACTAACTATAACAGGTATGCATCCACTCACAATAGCATCAAACAGCCTAGCAGAAGATGGGGTGTCACCAGCTGGGCTCAAACAAAATAGCGATCTGTTATCCACACAAACTGGTTAAAATTGCAATATAATCATTCAACATTTTACAAATGAGAAATGTAAAACAAGTGATGCTTAAAATGAAAGCTTTTTTTTTTACTTGCGCATGCCATTCTGAGCTGCTTCCTTCCCAGCTATTCCAAAGGTTCCCTCTTCTATTATAACACCCTCAGTATCAAGTAGAATTTCTACTAGTTTGCTTCTAATTTTGCCCCCCTAAACCATTGAATTTAAAACATGATTTAGCGGTCGAGTTCACATTCTCTAGAGAAAAAAAAAGATCTTACAGCATTTCTTTTAAGCCTTCCCCGAAAGAAGAGCAAAGTACTTCGGTGAGAGTGAGTATCACGCAAACATTGGGTATCACATAAATCTACATTAGGAACATATGGCAAGATGAGGTCCTTCTCAAGACAAACTTGTCCAGGCTTATACCTACATAGACCAATTTGAAGAAGGCTTCAAGATCAATTCATTATAAGCATAAGAACCTATTCGTATTTGCATGGAACAGTTTCTTCAGGGGAGAAAGAAAATAATTCTAAATGTTAAGTAGGGAAATGAGAAAATTAGTACCAGTTCCCAGTGGAGTCCATATCAGGGAGAAGCCAAATTGCCTTTTTCATATATCTCCGTACAGACTTGAAAGACCATGGGTGGTGAACTGGAAGAATATGGTTCCTCCCTTCAGATCGTTGCCATGCTGGCTGATCAGTTACCCACTTCAAAGCTTCCTGCTTTCACAAATCAACAAAAACAAAAAGGCAAAGTACAGATTTTATGTTTTAATTCTGAAGCATGTAAGATGAAAATTTGAAAGTATGCATGCATCAAAATCATATAAAAAGATGATATATATGAGTTTGTCATTGTCTTTTATTTTATTGTATTGTATTATCTGTTATTTTATGATGTCAGCTCCTATATGAATAAAACGTTTTCTCTATTATTTTAAGTATTCTGTTAGGACTTGCTCATTATTGCATGATTTGTGAAGAATATTGACAAAATAATTTGTGATTGTCATTTTTTTCAAGGCAAATTGATATGAGGCTTCACTTCAGGAGTTTCCTTCTAAAATCATCTGTAGCTAACTACCAGGTTAGACTCTTGCGGCCATGGCTAATAATCTTTGCGGGTGAAAAAGTTATGTTATACTTGCAATATTTGGAGATCACTCCAATAGGGGTGGCTTCCTTCCCTTGCAAACTAATTGTACGAAGTGTGGCCTTTAAGCAAGATTGGTACGCTTAATCATCTATCAGCACAAGATATATGACCATAGAGTTTTTAATGAAATATAAATGTAAATTTATGGGTAATCAACACTTCTTTTATTGATTCTCCATGCTTTTAAAAGAAGTTCGAAACAATTATGTAGAGATATTTACCTACATCTAAGGGGCCAAAATTTTCCTTCTAGTTCAAATTGAGTATTCAATACTCTATATTTTAATATTAGATTGACTGTTTGACTAATTTTATACATTTCTTATGCAATTTAAGTTTAACAAGAGCTTAGTTTTTAAATAATTGCATAATTTTTATAGTTTTAAAGCTTTTGAGTATTTTTAATAAAAGTATATTGGAATTTTCAAATGAATTTAGTTTCTTTAAGTTTTCAATATTTATTAAAGGCAATTAAAGGCACCAAATAATTATTAAATATAGCATGATTTCATACATCTCATAATAGTTATACACTGGAAACTCTAGAATGTCCTACATCACCAACCTTAATCAAAAGTTATCCCTCATTAACAAAAGTATAAATAACCATGAGAGCTTGCATCCATGAAAAGCTTCAAACCAAAAATATTAAGTCCTTAAGGGTGGAATCTCTAAATATTGCTTTATCTCTTACTTAATCTACTTCCTCAAAAATCATTCTGGATTGAAAACTCTTTTAAAATAGGGTTGTCAAGTGATGAATGCTTCTAGGCAGAATGAACATTGAAAAGGGAATATTGATGATTGTTGTTAGCGAGAAGTAGCATTAAGACTATCTAAAAGCCAGAATATGAATCCTGATCAACAATATGCAATAGAGATGAACTTAACAAGTAGAGAGAATTTGTGATGAGGACATCGAAGATCAACGGCTACGATCGTGTCTATTTATTTTGATGTATTTTATTTGTTATTTGTACTTTTCCATTTCTACCCTCACTTGAGGGCTTTGTTTTATGTTTGCCCTAGGGGCAATTGTGTCTTTTATTTTTCCTTCATGTATTTGGCTATTTAAGCCCTCCCCTTCCTCTTGGAAAGGGATGATGAATATTGATTGGAAATTTTCACTTTGTGCTTATGATTCTCTTTGTGAGTTCTAAGTTCTCTCTCTTGGAATGATCTCTTAGTGAGTTCGTGAGAAGAGAGGCCCAAGTGAGGCAAAAGCAATACCCGTCAATCTTGATGGATTCCAAGGTTCGCGGTTCTCTTATCTTCTTTTTTCTTTTATTTTTCTTCTTGCATCGAATTCCCTTTCCACCCGTCTACGCCCATAGCTTCCACCACCGGCCATTCTCACCACCCAAATTCTCTCCCAAATGCCTCCACCACGGCTCATCCCAATATCCACCCCCATGCCGCCGGCCACCTCTCCCTCTCCCATAGAATTTGAAATTCAAAATTCTAAGCCCATAAATACTTTCCTAAAATAATCCTCCCAATTAGGAATGTTTATTAATTTGAATTCAATCCAATATTTGAATTCAAATAATTCCCTCCCTAATAAATTTCAATTAGGAAACCTCTCTAAAATTAATCAAATCTGAAATTAATTTCAGATTTAATTTCAATCAACAATAAATTCCCTTGGCCCACATACATCGAACCTAGACATCTTTGCCCCCTTCATGTGGCCGTCCCCCCCTCCCCTCTTCCCTTGGTTTTACTTCTTTCCAAATTTGGGTTAAGGAGTTTAAGAGGGAAATCATTCAAATTCTGAATTCAAATTTTAGATTTGAAACCTTTCCTATTTGGCATGATTCATAATTGGAAAGTTTTAACTCTTCAATTCAAAATTCAAAATTAAATTAAGAGGAGTTATGAGTCATCAATTCCTCATAATTTAATTGGCTTCAATTAGGAAACTATTTAAAACCCCCATGACTTTGAGTTCAAATTTCAAATCCTAGTCTGTCTTGCTCAAATCTGAAAAGGGAATTCCGTAACCGCTGTCCAAGAAGTGCAGCCCGTCAACCTAGCTGTCCTGCTTCTCCACGTGGTGTTCCTGGCTGTCCAAAACCTCCCCGACTTGGCAAAATTGTTTCCTAAATTGCCTGGGCCATTGTTTGGCTGCTATCCAAGGAATTTCGGCAAGATAAGTCGTTTCCTGCTTGCTGTCCAGAAGTTCAGGACAGCGTTTGGTGGCTGTTTTATCGCCAGGAGACCTTCGTGGGTTGTCCAGAAGCTGCAATTAGTTGTCCAAAGATTCCTGACCAAGGGAGTTCGCTGTCCACCATCAGAGATCCTCAAGAATGCTGTCCAAAGGCTGATAAGAGGGTTTCTTGTTGAAACCGATCGCTGATCACACCTTGAAGAAGGTTCGTGGATGCCACCTACCTCCTTTCAAGCCTTCCTATGACCACCGGAGCTTCGTGTCTTCTACTTCATGTAGATAAACTCTTCCACCAAACTCTCTTATCTTCCTAGTTCACTTATCACGCGTGGTTATATGTTGATTCACAAAAGATCATGCTAATTCTTCCCCGCTAAAGCCAATAATTAGAAGAGTGTGTGAGGAACCTTTCATAGACTAATCTTATTGTTAGTATTGGAATTTATTGTTGGAACGATCCATGTATGCAATGTCGGATTAAGTTGGCTATCTTTTGAACCTAACTTTTTCATGTGATTTAACCTAAGCTAAGTGCCTTTTAATATTTATCTTATCGTTCAATTCCGCATAAGATCTTGCCTATTATTGCCTCTAAATCTAAGCGTGCAAACTTTCATTAAGCAAATCACCTTCGCATGATTTTGTTTCACATCAATTTGACCGCATGGAAATGACTATAGAATTCTGCAAAGATAATTATAAACAAGATTGACAAATGAAGAAAATATGCCAAAGTTATGTTTGTTCAAGTATCTTGGATCAATATCATAAAATAATGAGAATATGATACAAAGATAACTAGTTGGAATCAAAAGTTAAACAATAAACTGGGTAGAAGATTTAAGGGCACTAGTAATAAGAAAATCTACCAAATAGAAGAGCAAAAAAAGTATGCGAAAGCAAGACAATATAATAAGTTATTCAAAAAGATTTACAAAAGGCAAAGGCATGCACGGTGCAAAGCTCTAGTCAATATAGGATCTGGGAGGGTTTTGATATACAGAGGCTTACTCCAACATTTTAGAAGATTATTTTCATGATATAAAAGAGATTTAGTTAAATTAGGATTACTAGTTGATGAAGCTTTAGATATTTTGAGGTAAGAAAAATACTTAAATGACAACCAGAAATATTTCTTAGAAGGAATGTTTTACAACCACTAAACCATGATGTTTCAAGAAAATAGCAAATGCAAGGAAACATTAGCAAATTTGAACAATAAGCTCAAAGGATGGGCATAAACGTGTTTGGGATGGCTGAAGGAATAATTAACACAAGCTATCATAAAATATGCCTTTAAAATAGATGTTTTATTAGGTTAAACACATTGTTTACAAAAAATAGCTTAAAAGTAAACTTTGGGAAAGCTTCCATACCCTATAGAGTGCTTTGCACTGCTGTTTCTCCAGCAAAAAATAGCTGATTGTTGTGAAAAATGGTATATAAAACAAGTCTGCCTCTTGTTGATGATGAACCCTGATGACGTTTTCCAAAAGCCTCTCTGATTGTGGAGCAATCAAATCTGCCCATAACCAATAGTCAACGGAATGCTGCAAAAGTGCAAATAAAAAGAAGGAATTATTTATATTCAGAAAGACCGAGTATGTAAGATCTGTATATAAATACATGGTGTTGGATACTAAAGCATACAAAAGTTTTGAATAATCAGCAATAAAACGTTTCTACACAGAAATGAAACAACGTTGACAACAGAACAAGCAATATTAACTGCAGACTAATAGTGCAACTCTGACAGTGAGTCTGACACTATGATAATGCATGTTTCTAAATTTATCACAGGAATGTGGACAAGACAGCTAAAATATAACATAAAATGGAACATGCTCCACTTCATAGTTATCCATCAAATTGCAAACTGTTTGGAAGTCCAATTTGAGTCCATTATTCAAGAAGTTCGTAGGTATGATTTACAATTTATATGTCTGTATAGCTTGCTTTACCAGTGCTTTATTTCAAATGCAATCTAAATAATTGCAGAGCATAAGGAATTTATTGGTGGGGAGTTTGGGCATTATCTAGAATCTCTCCCATATATGGTTATTTTTTTTGTTCTCATGATTGATTTAATTAATCCCATTGTATCTGTTTGATTATGTGCAAGGAACTTCGGTATTGATTCTATGATGGATGCAGTGGCAATCGGCTGCTAATCTCAATTCGATAGAGCAGGTTTTGCTTTCGAGTTTGGGCTTTTTTATTGAGTGTAATATAGAGAGCCCTAGTTACTTTTGTTCTGTTTACTTATTGTATTATGCCGGTGAATGCTAGGAAGTTAATGATGAGATTAAAGAACTAGATGGAGTTGTTTATCAAGATGGTGGAGCCACTGCAGATAAAAATGGATGTTCTTATAGAATGAACTCGTGGGTGTTTTATGCCTTGTCTAAAATATCAACTTAAGTGCTAAATAAATTCTTGCCCTAATTTTGTTCGGCTCGCACTTCACAGTTTTTGCGGCTTCTTCCCTACAGTTTGCTCCTCCCTCATGAGTCGACCTCGAGCACAGATGTGATGCATCACGCTCAGCCACACAGGCATGGCTTCCTCTTCCGTGTGCACAACAAAGCCTGCTCTTTCCTTCGACCCAGACGGTCCGATGAAGATCACTCTCGACGAGTCGGTTTGCTTTTCCTCTACCTAGATGGAGACTGGGTGAGACAGTAGTGACAAGCGGAATAAGTAATGTTTTTTTTTTCTTGGTTGATTTCAACTTAATCTTGTATTTATTTGATTTGAAAGAGATTTTAAGATTTTTTTTTTGCAATGAGATTTTCAATATCCCGTATTTTGTTCATTCTTAAATAATAATTTAATTTTTTTTTTAATTGTCTATACCGGTCCTAAGCCCGGATGTAAAAGTGTTATATTATTGAAATGATAGTGCTCAACTGAAATAAACAGCCATGGTCCTTGCCTTTATTCTTTTTGAGCTTCTATTTCTTATCCGTTAAGATTGATGTAATGTAGATAATGCCTAATTGGGTTGCTATTAGATTATATATCAATCTGGACTGCTAATATTATTAAGAATAACACAATCTAGGAAATAGGAGAAAACCAATCATCCTTGAATATAACATTGATATTCATACTATCTAAATAGAATTTCATGAAGACCATTGAGTTTCATACACATATACAAGCAATTAGACCAGTTAATAATAGTAGCCCTCTTACGTAAGCGATACATCTACACACGCAATTAGCATTAGGAACTCATCTTCAATTAGTAAGTCAATACCTAAGCATAAAAATTAACCTTTTATTGGGAACAACAACAAGCATCCTAAAGATTTCTAAACTTCATTGCAATCAGTATGAATATGAGGAGAGGTGTTAAAGACTTATGCCGTATTTATCTAACAACCGCAAACATGAAACTGCTGCAGATCTTAGCAGTTGATAGGCAATAATATCTCCACAAGGTCTAACGTGAGAAATCATAAAAGTAGTCAATGAGAAATGCATGCGTTCCTCTATTAATAAAGCTTCCCAACTGGAGCTTTCAATCATAAATCCAAAGAACTTATTATCATTTGACCCTAGTAAAGCCCTATAACTACCAACACCATTAACATATTGAAGTCTAATTCTGATCTACAGCACCAAAAATTATAAAGCAGCAATGATAGACAGAGGAGAAAATAAAGAGGTAAAATTCACTAACTTGCTCGATTAGGCGATGAACAGGACTCCCATTCGAAGTTAGATTAGTTGTAGCCTTGTACGTGTTTCGGAAGAGCCGCAACAGATCGTATGTAAACTTGGCCGGCATCTCGTACACATAAACCTTAACGACCGACAACCCCGCCCACGCATCTGTCTTCCTCCTCCAAATCGCATCGTCGAGCACCCTCTCCGAAGCCTCACCACTGTTGCCGGAGAACGTATCAGGTGGCGGAGACGCCCAGGAGGATTCAGATGTGAGCAACTTCTCAAGTGATGCAACAAAGGAGTATTCCGGTTGTGGGGAGTTTGGATTGTGGTTAGGGTTCTCAGAAGGAGGGATTGTAGACGCCAAGCGTGTATGAGTGGGAGAATCATAAGCACGGCAGCCGGAGGAGGATAAGAAGAAGAAGATGGATGCCAGGACGAGGAAACAGACAGTGGCGATGAAGATAGAATGACGGGAGAAGAAGAAGGATTTATTAGGGTTTAGCGAAGCAAAGCCCCTTCCTGCCATTGTTCGCCGGAGTAATGCGGGAAAGCAAGGGACTATTTGGCAGCCGGTTTTAAGTAGGATTTATGCCGGATTTACGATAAATCGTGCCAAATGGAAAAAAATGGACAATGTAAATCCACAACCGGCGTAAATCCCGGATTGACTGAATTCCGTAGTCCGCGGATTTACGGGATTTAGGGATTACGATATTTACGGGCTTGCGAATAGTTCTCGCGGTTGTCGTGACAAAGATGGTTACCTTTGCAGCCAACGAGCTCCCGTCGTGACTTCCAATCCGACGTCGTGGAAGGAGGCGAAAAGGCTTCTTTAGCAACTCTTTCAACACAAACAGCAATGAAGAATTGCAGAAATGGCGATAGGAAAAAGAAGAAAGGGAGAAGATTAGAAATATTAGTATTTGATTAGATTAATTAAATAATTAGTATTATTATTAGTAGTGAAATTAACTAATCTAATTTAACTTAACTAAATAATTAGTACTATAATTAATAATTAATATAATTCAAAATAGAAATAATTAATTATGTAATTAATATTATAAATAATAATTAAATTATTAATTATTGATTGAATAATTAAGTGATTAATAAGTAATTATTTATTAGTAATTATAAATTATAATATTTAATTGATTAATGAGATGATTAATACTATAAATAATAATTAAAAATAATTCAATAATGTTTATATAACTATGATATATAGATGCATATATATATATATATATATATATTGTTATTGTCATTGCCACTACCCCCTATTATCATGGTCGATTGTTGGAAGCACAAATACCACCCAGTCATCTTTGCTTTTTGTCACAGTCAATCATGCCACTCATTATCAATCACCACTAATTGTTGCTATTGCTAGCTATCATCCTCATCAGTCATCATCATCCACCATCGCTAATCATTGTCCGCCGCCTACTACCAACGGCCAAACACCACCAAAATGAAACTTCTTTTACAAATATTGAAAGTAAATTTGTTCAAAGTTAATATATGCCCTCTTTCTCTTTTTAGTTTTGTTGAGTGTTAGAAGTTGAGTTGATAAATAGAGAAGTTTCAATAACCTTCACTTTCAATGAAGTGAGCAATGGATCATGGATGTAACTGTTTATGTGGATACCTAAAAAAGAAGAAATTATGGTATCAAAAGGAAAAAAAAAAATTATGGGGACTTAGGCTTCGTTTGGTACGGCTTTCTTTCTGCTTTTTAATGCAATTTGTACTAGGAAGATGCTTTAAGAAGTAGAAAGAAAGCCGTCCCAAACGAAGCCTTAGTTTGCTTTAAATAAACGGAGAATATATCAAACTTTTGATAGAGTTTAATAATATTCATCATTACATGCTAATTTTATATAAATACTTAATTAAGGAGGTGGATTTTTTTGTAAATATGGGTCGATTTTTCGGACACTAACCTGACCCGCTTCAGGTATGTTTTACTAAATTTTTTTATTTAATTTTTATTTATTTAAACCTAAATCAAATTAAGATAAGATTTACTTCAATAAATTTAAAATAAACCAAGTTTAATTTAGTTTGGGCAAGATAATTTATTATTTTTTAGAAATAAAATTTACTTATTTCATAACATTCTTTTAATCTCTCCTATATTAATTAAAAATAGGTCAAGTCGGGTTGATTTTGGGTTTCCGGGTCAACCCGAACCCAACCCGATTTTACAAACGGGTCGAAATCCCTAACCCGAACTCGACCTGGGTTTTTGGTTCAACCAGAACCTGAAATTTTATAAAATTTATAAATATTGTTAGGGATTTCGACCCGTTTGTAAAATTGTATATATAATATCTAAATCAAAGGAGTGAAAATAAGCCTGAATATAGAACCCAAATAAGAAATTCAAAATTCAATGATTCAATCAGAGTTAAATTGAGAGTTGAATTGGATAATATAATAAATATTTAAATTATATTTATGTATTTTTATAAATGTACAAATCTAATACTTTTCAAATATACTAATTCTATTAAAATATGCATTTCAAAATGCATCAAAATTGTATTCTCATCAGAGATATATGAAAAAGGCAATTTGGCTTCTCCCTGATAATGGAGAAATTATTATGTGTGGAGACTGGATGCAGAACATCGTCCGGAGACCAACCAGAATGTACCACGTCAGTACTACCAAGCCGTGGTACAGAGCAAGGAATGCCGTGGCGCATTTTGGTTGATCTCCGAATGACGTTCGTCATCCGCATAGTATAATTAATCCTAATATGGACTCCTCTAGGAACTGGTTACTAATTCCCTCTTTTCCATTTAACATTAAAATTTTTGTTTTCCTTCTGTACCGAAGAAACAATCAGTAATGCAGTAAGATCTGTTTTTTTTTTTTTTTTCCCCTCCCCTGGCCTACATATGCATCTTCCGAACTTGAATGCTCCTCCCTGTTTAAATTCAATTCCATCTACCCACACCGACCTCACTGAGGAAAAATTATTCCGTCAGGTTACCTGACATAGAGATACATCAGGTAGCCTATAATAAGTCGCCACGTGCACTTACTTTTTATTGCGCGGCCCGACGACCCGACTTGGACCGAATCCGGGATTACTATGTTCGCGTATTGCTCGGTATTTGCTCGGTATTGCTAGGTATTACTCGGTATTGCTTGACAATAACGATAAATACCGCTCTGTAAAGACCAATTCCGAGCAATACCGAGCAATACCTAAAAGAACTCGGTATTAATACCGAGCAATACCGAGTAATACCTAAAAGAACTCGGTATTGCTC